GCGGAAGACATAGACAAGAGGCGAAGCACGGCTGGACCACCAGAGCGTCCCACCCCTCCAGCCCGAGGCCGGACCCCCATCGTCAGTAGGCGCGTCGCTGGGCTTCAGGGCGTTGACCAGCAGCAGCAGGTGGAGAAAACGACGCCGGTGACAGTTCGGCCACCTGGCGGCCCGAGTACAGGCTCACCAGCGTGCTGTCCACGGCCAGGAAGGCGTGGGCGCGCGGCCCCGACGGCAGACCGGTCACCACCCGCTGCAACACAGGGACCAGTCACCACTCACTACCACATGAACCAGTCACCACCTGCTGCAACGCAGGGGTAGGCCACCACTCGCTACCACATGAACCAGTCACCACCTGCTGCAACGCAGGGGTAGGTCACCACCCGCTACAACGCGGACCAGTCACCACCCGCTGCAACACAGGGACCATTCACCACCCGCTTCAACACAAGGGTCCAGTCACCACTCGCTACCACATGAACCAGAAACCACCTGCTGCAACAGAGGGGCAGGTCACCACCCACTGCAACACAGGGACAGGTCACCACCCACTGCAACACAGGGACTAGTCACTAGCCAACAAAGCATCACAAACCATCACAACACAGGAGACAAAACTTACAGGCATGCCACTTTGACTGCATCACTGAAGCCCACAAGCACTGGTGACTGATAACTGCACAAATAGCATCACTGATAAAGTGGGTCATCTCAGCAGCATTGCTCATCACAAGGACCAATAACCAGCAGCTGCCACGCATGAAACACAAGGCGCAGAGGTGGGGACAGGCCAGACTCTCCTTGCCGGAACAGCCAATCAGACCGCCTCCCATCACCCCGCCGTCCTCCCAGTCGAGCGGCGCGGCACTGAGCCCCGCCACCGGCGCGGCCGGCCCCGGCGCCAGCAGCGCCGCCTCTGGCCGCGCCGGCCGAACAGGCGGCGCCGCTGTCGCCGCCCGCACCTGCAGCACGGAGACCATCTTGTTCTGGACGTCGTCGCCGATGATGAGCCGCTCCACGGCCTCCACGTGGTAGGCCTGGCTGCTGCGCTGCAGCTCGCAGTAGGAGGTGAGCATGTCGGCCAGCTGGCGCGAGAGCGAGGCGTCGCTCGACTTGAGTCTGCCAGCAGATGGTGGCATCAGCAGAGGCCTGGGCTCTTGGCACGGACGGCCCCCGGGGCGCGTCCCAAATAACATCCATTTGAGTGTGCAGAGTGTAAATATAAACACATTCTATAAGAATCTGGCTCCGCGGCGTCCCTTACGCGCGCAACACTTCATTGGCTGCTAAATATGTTGTTCTCTGACCCCAAGCTCTGACACATGACCTGCCCGGCCGAACTTCAAAGCCCGTGGCGCCTAGATGAGAGGCTGGCCGCCGTCCGGCTCAACACTGATCGGCCAGTCTTCAGTAAGGGGAGGAGCAACAGGCAGTGGCCGCCCAGCCGGACACGATGGCACGGACAAAATATCGATATTCCTGCCATCCAAGTGGCTACATTTTGCCACAATGATGCCCAAACAGGCTGTGCGCTAGCCGTTTAGAAGCTTACAATTTAACGCTTAGAAGATGAATCACGGCGAAAAAAAATGTGACAATCATAGGCCACTCTGTCGTTTTTCAATGCCACTTTTTGCGACGAAAATATTGCAAAAAACGTCACAGTGGCGGCGCTCAGCACCACCACCGTATCGCCGATCCGCTCCCGCTCTCGTCCGTCTCATGGGACGGCATACGTTATCACGGTTCGGCTCTCCCCCTCAGCCGACGGCGTGTAACAGTACCCACCTGGTCAGAACAGGCCCGCAGAGCAGCTTGGCGAGGCTGACCGCCACCGAGATGTACTTCCTCGGCGAGAGCTGGAGTGCTGGCACAGGCACAGGAACTGGTACGTCAGGTAACTGCCGGAAGAGTCGATATGCGTGGCATGCTCAGAGTGGTGAGCAGCTGAACAGCTCTCTCGAAGAGAGGGTTTATATAAAGTCTCGTTTCCTGGTCTGGTTTCTGTCACATCAACCTTAGTAGATACTGCTCGCGCAAATGGTAAATTTAATGATATATTTATAACAAATATATTCGTGCAACCCAGCTTATTGTATTCACGGTAGATTTTGACAATAGCACAACTTTTGCCGTACAGCCTCGGAAGAACATAATGAATTCCTACATCAACGTCCCAGCATTGCCCATACCAAGAGCCATAGTTTGACTTCAAAGCCTATCAGACGGAGATGCACGAGGGTTACTAATAGATTTGACCTGCAGCATTTGCAAAAGTACACTCTTTTGCAGGCGGCATACGATAACTACCACATTCGCAATCGTGCAGCGTGTTTTCACATGTACTTACTTGCTGGTCCAGCATTACAGTATTGGCACCAGGAGCGCAGCTCTACAGGGGGGGTGGCAGAGCCCACACGACGTTTCCACTTTAGATGATTCCCGACAGAAGTTTTTTCATCGGCGAATGCATTACTCACATGCCCCCCCCCCCCCCCGGGCTTCCTTCGGAGATCCGGCTGCGCCCCTGATCCGAACCATTATCACACCAATGCCTGTGGTCCTGCTATATCACAGCTATCACTCAACATATTTTTGTGCACAGGCTTCCACATAGCGACAGCGAAACATACACAAAGCAGCAGCAACTATATGCACAGATTAGCTGAGGCCACATATCTGACCGAGGCACCGCGGCGCCATCGCTCCTACCCTACGAGTGAGCCCGCTACACCCTCACCCGCTAAGACCGCTGGCACGGCACCACACCACGCACCTTGTCCTGCTCTCGCTCATTTTGGCGCTCATCCTTTCAGCGCTTTCAGGGCGCCAGCTTTCGACAAACCCGGTTTGGCATTGGTAAGTTGTTAGTTGCCGTTCCACTCATACAAATGCCACCCTTTACCCCTCCCTCCATTGTCACCTTTCCATTCAGTTTCTCTGCAGATGGACTCGTGCTAGAACAGACAGCGGCGTGCCCACCTCAGAGAACACCATGAGCAGGCCGTTCTCGCACTCGATGCAGCTGTACGGGTCGTGGAACTCCAGGCCCATGATGCGTTGCGAGGCGAGGAACGGCGAGAACAGCTGCACCAGCACGTCGGCCCGCTCGCTGCGCGTCTCCGGCACCTGACGGACGGTAGACGGTCAGCGCGTGACACGCTGAGGCGCAGCACGGCTGCACACGGGGGCGGGGTAGCACAGCGACAGTACATAAGAGCGGGGTGGAACAGCGGCAGCACACGGGCGGGGGTGGCACGGCGGCAGCACACAGGAACCACAGGGGCAGGGGTGGCACCAGCGGCATCACACGGGGGCGGGGATGGAACAGCGGCATTACGCAGGGACCGGGCAGCACGATAGTACGCAGGGGCTGGTGGCATGGTGGCAGTGCACAAGGGTGGGGGTGGAACCGCAGCAATACAAGAGGGGCAAGGGTGGGCACAACGACGATAAGCAGGGGTAGGGTGGCCACACTGGCAGTAACACAAAGGCATACTGATGGCACTGACCGTCTCAGACCAGGCCGGGTAGAAGAGACTGTTGCGGGCCGACATGCCGCGGATGTGCTGCTCAAAACAGCTCATCGCCGTGCGAGAACACCACATCATTCAGCCGGTCGAAGATGATGGACGCCGAGCATTGGTTTGCAGCAGCCAAAACGAGATGGAGCACTGTGTCTGAAATTGGGAGCAGTCAATAGCCTAAATGTAAAACGGAATTCCACTTCTTCAATGTTATTAACCTTCCCCAATCTGCAAAATATGACTGAGGTTACACGCATCCGGATGGCCGTGTAGATACCCTTTGCTCGGGTGGGGGGGGGGGGCACTTTGACCCCCCCCCCTCCTGAGGATTCAGGAACTAAGAAAGCTAGGCACCACTAAATTTACAGGGTGTGGTTGACCTGCATGTGAACTTACTTAGGTCAAAGTTTTGGGTTCCTAGGTATGACTTTCAGATCAAAAAGGTCAATGAGGTCAGCTCCAGGTTAGTCTCCAAAGTGCTCCAGAGCCAGACAAGCATTCTAAGCAAAGGTCACATTCTCACTAAAGGTGAGTGGACCTTTTGACCTTTTAAAGGTCAAGGTGACCAAAATCATACATGATTGCTCTGCATTTGCACTTGACTAAGCGACAAGATTACACCAGGCAGTATGTTCCTAAAACAAAATGTTGACCTGGGTCATTCTAGGTTAATGACCTATTCTGACCTTTAAGAAGTCCAGGTAAGATGCATAATGCAATTCCTGCTATCAATAAACTCAGAATGAGCACCAGAAACTATCCCATACAGCAAGCTCTAGAGTAACAAAACAGGTTGGTTTTAACCTTGGTGTGGCATTCATACCTGACCTTAGGCCAATGAAATTTGCTCATTCAATTGTTGTGTTGCCCAAGAAAGCATCTCAGATGTATGACTTCATCTAACACTCTGTTGTTGGATCAGATTGAAGGATTACCTAGAAATTGCCTCGGCTGAAACCATGGCCTGACTTTAACCTGCCATAGGCCAGTGACCTTACGAGGTAATCTAAATTTTGCAAGTCAAATGATCCACTATTTAATTGTCTATAGCTATGCAAAATTTGGTGTGTGTGCGCCGCGCCATTCGGAAACCATTCTGGAAAGCCTTAAACCTACTTGTCATAAACATACAAGAGACACTGTAAGTGCTGAGCAAGATATTTGTCAGTCAAGCAGGACACCAATAACATGTAACTTTCAATAAGTGATAGTAAGTCAGGCAAACAGCATTGGAAAATGCATATATATATATATATATATATATATATATATATATAACGATGCCAAAAGTGGTCATAAATCATGTTTACACCCCACCACCATACCCACATATTCATGTGTTTGTTTGTGTTTATATGATCAAAGCCAAGTAGGAGAAATAAAAATCATAGCTTGTTCTAGTGCCAAAAACATCCTGTTACATGCCCAGGCAATGTTGGAAAAATCACTCTTTCCTGGAAAAATGTATGCCACAAGATTTTGTACTCCAAGATTGTGACCAGGTACAATGAAATATTTTGCCTGGGTACAGCACTGTCTGGGTACAGCAAAAACTCACTTAACACATGCCTAAGTTGGGGTCAAATTGACCACCCCCTGAAGGTTTTCCAGAAAGTCTCAGAATGGCAGTGTGGATATACCAGATTTTGCATAGCTGTAGACAACTGAATAGTGGATTATTTGGTATTGAAAATTTAGATGTAACCTGTGAGGTTGCTGAATTACAGCAGGTCAAAGTCAAGCTATGGATTATGCTAAGTCAACTTCTAGGAAATCATTCAACCTGATGCAGCAACAGAGTGATAGATAAAGCCACACATCTCTGAGATAGTTCACTTGGCAACACAATAAATGAATGCACAAATTCCATTGACCAAAGGTCAGTTTTGAAGGTTGGACCAAGGCCAGCATTTATCTCTTTTATCACTCCCAGGCTTGCTGTCTTGGGGTAGCTTCTGGGGCTCACTTCCAATTCATTAATAACAGAAACTGTATTGTAATCTTCCATGAATTTATCAATGATCAGCATAGGTCACTGACCCAAAATGACCCAGCTCAACATTTTGTTTTTAGGAACTATCATATCAACCTATCATAATCTTTATTGATTACTCAAGTCCAAAACTCAAAGCAGTCTTGTATCATTCTGGTCACCATTATATTGAAAAGGTGAAACAAGGTCACCAACCCCCAAATAAGCATGGGACCCTTTGCTTAGAACAGTTGTCTGGGTTCTGGGAGCACTCTGGAGATCAACCCAGTTATTGACATTGACCTTATTTGACCCAAAGGATGCGACCTTAATATATTAAACTTCAACCTAAGTGATTTCAGCATGGGCCAACACATGCTGTAAATTTGGTGTCTCTAGCTCCCTTCATTCCTGAGATCTCAGGTGGTCAAATCCCACCCCCCCCCCCCCCCATCTGAGCGAAGGGCATCCAACCAGCCATCCGGGTGCGTGTAAGGCAACACAGCATGACATAAACAGCCATCACCTGCACCACATCACATACCTAAACCTTTATCCCAGGTAGCCTTTGCTCAGTTGTGCGTTGTCACCGTACTTAGATATATGAACAGGGACGGGAAGAAACCTACCGCACCATAGGGTGCCGTACATTTATACGCAGTGCGTGGCGTGTGTAGGGCCCGGCGCCTACTTTTATCGGGCAGGGTGCCCACAAACCCACCTCACCTATCTACGAGATCCGACCTCCCAACGTAACACTCAAGAGCTCCGACGCAAGGCGATATTTCGATGTTACGCAATCCATGACGATACATAAACAAGGCGATGCAGCCCGTTCAGGTGTTGTGTACCAGTTGCGCATTAAATGTACTCATCTACAGTGCTACCAAATACTCGAGTTTCAGTTGAGTTAAACAAGATAACATGGGTTCGCTAGGCGCTGTGACAAATATGATGGGCGCTGGAAGCACCGTGGGTGTCGAGCGATCTGCGCCGCCAGTGCGTGGTCTCACACGGTGCCTCCCCCCCCCACCCCCCCACATGACCTATGATCCACAGCGCAAGAACGAGGCATGAATTTGAATTCCTGCCTAGGCGACCTCACAGCGTTTCCTTACACCACAGGCGCAACGGTGGCTTTCAAATGGTCGCACCGAACCTCCGAATGCCCTTCCGCTTTTCTAACAGTAAATCAATAGCACTGTTCTCTCAATTGTGCCAGCACCAATTCAGAATGTAGCGAGATGAGCATACATTGTATTAAGTGCAGTCTAAATGATGCGCTTTGTCGCCAACAGGTACAAAATATACATGAGCGTTGCACGGGGATAACTTGCCGCGAGATCTGTACAGTGACGCCCGTCTCGCATTCCACGCCCACACTTCCGGAGATCACGGCCTCGGTCAGCAGCTGCTGCCACCGCCATCAGCGACCACGAGCCGCGCAAAGATCGTCCGCACAGGCAGCGATCAGCTCTGCGCAGATCACAGGTCGCGCGACGTGGCTAGCGGCTCGCAGATGCGGGTCACACGGGCGCAGCCGGCGGCACTTCTAACAGCACACCCGTGACAACGTAAGAATATCGACCGGCACTGGAAGGCACATAGAGATCACTGGATGAGCGACCACGTTCTGGCCCAACCGAAGGCTGCTAGGAACCCGGTCTCTTTTTTAGATGGCCTCCACGCATTAAAGTAACTTACATCCGCACACACGTTCAGATTGAAGTGAGACAGCAATGCACCATAGAAAAACATCCCTACGCACTATGACATTAGGTCAAAACTTCAAAATACAGTTATTCACGCAGCATACAACGTCCATGTATCTATCACCTGCACACCCAAAACCAACCAACAGTGTACAATAGCTGAACGTTCAGTTCGTATCCTGAGGATCGGACGACAACAGTAAGGAACTACACGATGCAGAAGTTGCAAAAGCGCAGAGCGGCGTGCTTCATTTTCACCCTTCTTTCGCGAGCCCAAGGCCGTCTCTTCACAGCACCGGTCATAAGAGCACGAGACGCCAGGAACCATTGGGGCTTCAACGACAAGCCGCCCCCGGTCTGCACTCACAGCAGCCGCCGATACACGTGGTGCACCCAAAACCCAGCCCTCAGGAAAAGACAAGGCCCACACGGCCCCAACTTCACGACAGGTGACCGCACGACACAGGCAGCTGCCGCTTGTAGCTGCGTGACGCTCCGGCGTCGCGCAGGAGCGCCGTTATACAGGCGAGCCTACCGCCGGCGGAGCTCCCGTCCACAGAAGTCCAGCGACGGTCAGTCTCAGGCGCCTGTGCCATGAGCAGGGGTCAGCCAGCGCCTGTCCCATCAGCAGGGGTGTACCCGTCATCGTGTCCCGGGGACGGATACCGACCAGTCTCACGCGTTCGCCCACCTCACACCTCACACGTCCTTCGGCGCGGCCCTGCGAGATGACGAAACGAAACCTCAGGCGGCGGTGCGGCCCACGGCACCTGTCTGGGGCGCCGACGGCCCTGCGAGGAGTGGACCCACACGCACAGAGGCTGCCCAGTCGGCAGCGCGCCGCCTGGACTGGCGCACCAACCGCGATCAGATGCCGAGCCCGTCGTAAGCGGGCAGCACCGGCGGCGTGGCTGGCTCGGCGGACTCTCCGTGCTCGGCGGCGGCGAACAGGCCGCTGTCGGGGGCGGCCAGCTCCACGGCGCCGGCCATTTCCCGGAACACCTCCCCGTCTCCGTCTGGTAGAGCGCCGCGCCATCCTCGGCCAGCGTCTTGTACACGGTGACGCCCGTCTCGGTGCGGTACACCTCCAGCGGCCAGGCCAGCGCCTCCTGCACGTCCGTCACCGGCATCACGTTCACCATGTAGTAGCGGTCGTCGCCGGCGGCCGGCGGCGGCACGGACGGCGCCGCGGGCACCTCGTGCGTCTCGTGCACTTTCGCGTGGTCGCGCAGATTCTCGCTGCGGCTGAAGGCCTTGCCGCAAGCGGCGCAAACGTACGGCTTCTCGCCGGTATGCAGGCGGGCGTGGCGCGCCAGGATCTTGGCCAAGGTGAACGTCATGCCGCACACGTCGCAGGAGAAGGGCCTCTCCCCGGTGTGCACGCGCCGGTGGTCGCGCAGCTGGCAGTGCTCTCGGAACGTCTTGCCGCACTGCTCGCAGCAGAACTGGCGCTCGCCGCGATGGCCGCGCTGGTGCTTGTAAAAGTTGGAGACCGTGGCGAAGCCCTTACCACAGTCGTCGCACTTGTAGGGCTTCTCGCCCGAGTGGAAGCGCTTGTGGATGTTGAGGTAATAGGCCTGCTTGAAGGTCTTGCCGCACTGCTCGCAGCAGAACGGCTTGTCGGTCGAGTGCACGCGCTTGTGCACGCACAGGTAGGACTGCTGCGCGAACGCGCGGCCGCAGTCGTCGCACTTGAACGGCTTGTCTCCCGAGTGCAGGCGCCGGTGATTGGTCAGCGTCGAAAGCAGCGCGAACTGGCGGCCGCATACGTCACAGCCGTGCGGCTTCTCGCCCGTGTGCGTGCGCGCGTGTATCTTGATGCTCGCCAGGTACTGGAACTGCTTGTGGCAGAGCACGCACTGATAGGGGCTAGGACCGTCCACGCGCCGCCACAGCGCCGGGTCCGGCTGGCGCGCGCGCGCCGGCCGCGACTGCTTCGCCGCGCCTCGCGCACTCGGAGCCTGCGGGACAGCCGAGAGTGAGGTGAAGAGTCGAGCACACGGCGATAGAAACACAACGAACAGTTCACGATACCCAGTCAAACGTGGTAACATGGAAAAAGACGCATGTGCGGCGAATGCCAGCAGTAATTAAACAAAAGCTATTGCAAACGTGGTGACTGCTGTCGGCAATATTCTATTCCAATGTGTACACAATAATACATGTAATTCGATAAGCAATGCACTAATATACAATTCACACACACTCATTACCCACCACAAGCAAAGGACCTGCGCTAACACGAACGCCAAACGGAAAAACCCATGACAAGGGATGTCACATAAGCAAGATCGGATACATGCGATTGAGTATGCTTTCAAACAAGATGATGGCACAGGATCACTGGATGCATCATTTGCGACCAATCCGTATACAGGAGCTTTCATTACCTTAGCTTTTTCGGTGTGCTTTGATGCCATCTCCACGTCACCCTCTACCTTCACGGCGATACCGCCTCCGGGCACACGGCACTCTGCAAACATGGGACATCAGCAAGAGGCACGACGGGCATACAGCGAACGTCAAGAGTACCAGGAAAACAGCCCAGCATGGAAACAATCTGTAGCCCTGATCAGCCTGAGCGGGTCAGACCATTCGGCCGACATCATGGTTCATGACCCACGATCCGTTTTGGATAATCAACCAAGATTCCTGCTGGGTAATTATCCATGGTTCCTGCCAGATAATCGTACATGCTTTGATGAAACATTTTGTGCTTCGATCTATGCTCTGCTGTTCCAACCGAAAGATGATTCTCAATTCATCATTTTCCAATGCGCTCTAAGTTACGTTTACTGTAATCTAGCTACTTTCGATACACAATCATGTCGGTCTCATGCTTTTGATCCCTTCCGTTACATACTATTCGGATCCGGGGTTGATCTGCATAAATAACTGGTAAATGAGCGAGCAGAGGGCTTGGCAATCTAACTTTCCCCAAATGTGTTTCTAACGGCTCTCCACTGACACTTCTTTGTAGACTTTGGTAAACCCACTAGTCGGCGGTGGCCCCTACTGCCTGAGGTCGAAAACCGTTGACCTTGGCCCGTGTCATCGTCTTAAACTAGAGACTGTGAGACATTAGGTGTTTTCATGTATTGGGTTCCTGCCTTTAGTGTGTCATTGCGGTGCACTCAGCTGCTGACGCATCTAGTGTCGCTTGCGTTTCACCCCGACAGGGAGAGCGGGTACCGCGGCGAAGTAGATCCGGTGCCTCCTATTTGCCTCCCGGAGGTACAGCTTAGCCCCTTCACTACCAGTGCCCTTATGTGTAACAATATATTAGGTGTTGCAGTAAACTAGAGGTCTTGACGCATTAGGTGTTCTGATACATTACACGTTTCGATGCATTAGATGTTTTGATGCATAACTGGTTAGACACTAGAGATCACAAAACATCACTCAACGCTTAGGTCGCGCCGTCAACCGGATCGTACCGCTGAACGTGCCGCCGGGTCCTGTCGCCTGGTGCTGGTCGGTCGGCCCCCGCGGCCGGTCCGTCTCAGCGGCGTCGGGCTGTTCGGCAGCCGGTGCCGGTCCCACCCCGGCAGAGGCGTCCCGGGACGGCGCCTCGCCGCTGGGCAGGTCCGCAGTGGCAGCCACTCCAACGCCCCCTGCATCGCCCGGGAGCTCCCCTGCAGCCGGCGGCGGCGGCTCCGTCGAGCCGCAGGTGTTCGCCTTCTCATCAGGCGGGCAGGCGCCGCCCAGCGCCTCTTCCCCCGCCGCCTCGTCTTCTGCGGCAGGCGCCTCTGCCTCCTCGCCGTGGCCCGCCGCCGGCCGCCGGCCGCGACTGCGCGCGCTCTGGTCGAGGGCGCGCCGCAGCTGGCGGCGCAGTCCGTCGGCGCGCGACTGCAGCTCGTCCAGCTCGTGGACGAGGCGTGAGCAGGCGAGGCAGAGCACGGCCTGGCGCGGCGGCGGCGTGCCCGCCAGCTCGCCCAGCAGGCCGCTGAACGGACGCCGCGAGAGCCGCGCGGTCAGCTGGCGGACGCTGCGGTGCGGCGGCGACCAGACGGCGTCGCAAACCAGGCAGGCCGGCCCGGCCGGCGCCATGCTCGTACTCGCCACTGCGCTGCCCTGCCACCACATGGAGAGGAAACACTAAACACTGATGCCATGTGGGCACACCGAATATTGCATGGCATGATAATAGTGCAATCTATGGTAACATAGTAGATTGAGTATGGCTTTGGTTCTAAGTATTGCTTATGATGAATGATGATGTTCAAGATCTCATACATAGATCAGTGGGTGGGCATACTGTGTGTAATTAAGGGAAAGATGCTGCAAATACCAGTCAAAGCAACTGGTATTTGCAACATACTGGTACTTATTTTAATATCAGAAGACTAACATAAGCTGTGTCATAATATCTTATAAAAGGGTTTACATAAACTTACATGAATAATAGACCTGCAAAAAACATAACACAAGCACTCTGTGCCAAGAACTGGCATACTTATTGTAATTTTGCTGAAAGGCAACTTACCTCACACATCAAGAGCAGCTTATGCTGTTTAATGAAAATTAAAAATTGTTACACACAAAATCTTGCAGTATTATGTCATTCTTCAGTGTCAACCTGGCAATAATAATGAAGACATTAGATAACCTGAGATTTTTAATGATGCAAGAGAACACAAGTTTTGCACCCTTCATACAAAACTTAAAACATCTTAACATACCATTATTCAACATTCTAATGACTTGGGTCAATGGAGAGGCCTTCACCAGTGCCAATCTCCCACACACCTAAATTCTCCATCATCAAAACATGGAAAAACCAATATTAATCAAATGCAAACCACCACTTACCTCATCATGCAGTTGTGCCATGGACATGGTGTGCTCATATGACACATATGATTACTAGTGAAGTTTGATCGCAATGGCAAGGGACCATCTTCTTGAATGGGTCACATGCTGATCCAATAATGACAAAACTAAGTTATTCATGTTAATTCATCACAGACTGCTTCAGTTAGGATGACCTACTGATACCTTTAAGAAAATGGACAACCACGATAGTTTGAGCACTCTTTACATGTAAAACAAATTACCTGAAGAAACAGGACTTACAAAAAAGAACAACTGTGCTACCCATAGCCCAGTTAACAAAGTCCCACATGCTTGTATGATGTACCATGCTCCAAATTCAGAAAGGGTCAAAATGTGCATAATTTTCAAATATTTAATTGAAAACATACCCAGGGAGCAGCTCACAATCACTTGCACACCACAACAGTTTTTTAATACACTGCCTATTCACACACTGAAATTTGTGGTGACCACATCCCAGACTCAAGGCTCTTGAATTTAGAGCATACATGGTCCAAGCCTGTGGCCAGGATGTCACTGCTATGCTGAAGATGTTCAACATAACATGCATTTTTGGGGCCTGGCCAATGACAGGCATCAAAATCTGATAACTTGTTTGATAAATATGATGTTATACACACCCCTTCCCACCTCAACAAAACACCTGCATCGGCAGCAAAGGAGATAACTTAGCTTTAAAATTTGACAACTTATCACATCTGATAATTCTGATGTTCTAAGCACACTTCCCCACCTTACCAAACAAACGCATCAGACGCACAACAGATCAGGCATGTACCTCTGTGTTATCAACACACAGCTATCCGCGTAGACACGGCTAAAAAGCCACACGCGGCACCAAAGCCGTATCAGAGATAATCACCAATTCACCACCTGTTGCGACAAAGCATGTGTGCCCTGTCCCCTCTGCCCTACGCTACACAGATGGCCTGAGGGCATCATATTTGTCTCTCGCCATTCACTTTAGCATCAGAACTCTCCGACGGTCCACTTCTTCTTTTTATGTCAGTCCTCGGGACGCGAGGCAGCGAGTTCGGACTGCATGCGGAGTTTGCCGCCGTCGGTTTCGCACCAACTTTCCCGTGCGTGCAATAAATCAAACTGTGTAGTTAACGCCGTGAGTGTGTGAGTATTAAAATAACCATAGAATATTTTCATTCCACACAAATAAATTATTAATCTTTGAAGCCCGCACCAAATATTAAACATCGTAGCGATATTGCTGTTTTTTCCTGCGCTGCAAACTTCCCATTTTTCGTGTCGATACTCTCCAACTTAATCGGACACTGAACATCTGACCAGGGTGGAGCCTATTGTATTCGCGAAATGCATTACAATCGATCAAAAATACGCACAATAAGGCGGCTGGCCTGTAAATTGCACACCCATTCTCAGACCGTACACACACACAGCCAGCGCCTTCTCTCACGCGTGCCGACAACTCCTGCCCCCCTGAGTCGGGCAAGGACTAGCACTGCACTCCCTGACAGCACACCTAGCCGCGCGCGGCCTGTCTGGCCGGGTGCGCCAGCTCCGCGGGCCGCGCGGTACCACACAGGCCGTCCGTATCACAAAACACAACGGAAGCTAGCGGGTCGGCGCGGGCCGGCTCCTCACGAGCTGCTCGACTGGGGCCGGGGCGGCTCCCGCTCCCGGTTCCAGTCCTGCAGCCCCTTGGGCAGCTGGGTGTCCTCCTCGAACGAGCCGGTGCCCTCGACGAACTCCTCGTAGGTGGACTTCTCCTTGAAGGGGCGCGGCCCGAGGAGTTCGATCATGTCGTCTCGCGCCAGGATCTCCTTCTGGAGGAGACGCAGCGCCACCTGCGGAGAAGCACGGAGCACCAGGTGCGGGACGCATCGACCGAGAGCCTCCGGCCATCACTATCCACGAACACGTCGCAGAGATCTTCTCTTGTCGCCCTTGAGGAAGTCTCAAAGGCGACACTCATCACAGACAACTCGTGCACCTCGACAGACGTACACCTTGTCTGTCGTACGCTCGTACACAGACAAGTTGTACACCTCGTACAACTCAGCTACTTATGGACAAAAAGCGTAAGCTTCAGGCGTCAAAACCTGTTTGTGCTTGAATGTATCAATGTGTTGGTCGTGCACCATAGCACAAGCGTGTCTCCATCCACACTGTCCAACGAACAGCAGCATCTCGAGACCAACTGTGGTTTGCAGCCGGTGGCGTGGCAGTCCTGTACACCCTGCATCGATGCCCGATCGCTGCGGGAGCACGGAATCAGCTCCGAAACGTCCGCGTCTCGGTAACGACACCGTCACCCTACCACACACAACGGCATCCTGCCGCTCACATCCGCAGATCCCCGGCCGTCACCGGGCCCGCCTGTCCAGCCGGACCGGTCACAGCGCCGCGCTGTATACCGCGCCACACCGCCCCGCCGCCACCCACCTTCTCGACGTCGTCCTTGTGCTTGGTGAGCAGCGCCATCGTCTTGTCGAAGGCGCTGGAGATGATGGAGCGCACCTCGCTGTCGATCAGCTGCGCCGTCTCCTCCGAGTACGGCTTGTCGATCACCATGTCGCCCGGCTGTGGCATCTCGAAGCTGACGTTGCCCACCCGCTCGTTCATGCCGAACTGGGTCACCTGGGCGTCACAAGTCACGAGAGTTCAGTGCCCGGTCACCCGCTGGGGTGGGAGCTGGTGCCTTACTTGCAGGGCGTGGTGCGCCGGGCCGCAGTGTTGCCCTGTTGCCGATACCGTATCGTCGCAAAAAGGCTATCCACCAATCACACATGGGGCAGTTGCCTTCCATCAGCCACACCCAGACGACAGACTGGTTGACCAGGACCAGAACAGTCAGCTTTGCACACAGCGATGCCAATGAGACCAGCGACGGCATGCTGGGCACATGCGCCAGCAGCCCACCGGCGCAAGGCTATCCGCTACAACGACCGGCGCAGCGTCAACCGCTGACGCCGATGTGGTGAGACATGATGCGACAACCTATGCCGGCTGTCTGAAACTGCTTCTACTGAAAGCAATGGCAGGCTACGATGCCAAACTACTCTTATACGCGCACTGCACTGAAAAACCAGGGCTTCATTTGTCGGCGGTTGCATGCGAAAGCAAGCAATTATGCATCAGTACGTACGACACGACACTGGTGATTGACACCCTCTCCCCGCGCGCCCCTCCCAGGCCCAGGACCGGCCACGAGTCACCTCTCGCGCACGGCCCACGATTTCTGACCTGGGCGTAAGCGCTCTGCGTGACCTTCTTGAGGTCGTCCTGCGCGCCGGTGGTGATGCGGTTGAAGAAGATGTGCTCGGACACGCGGGCCGCCCAGGGTCATGCACATGCGGTCCAGCAGCTGCTCCTTGGTGTAGAGATACTGCTCCCTGGCAGGTACTGCGCGTAGCCCAGGCCCTTGCCGCGCGGGATGATGGATACCTGGCAGGCGGCAGGTCCGTGTCACGTGCCGAACGTCACCATCATGGAGAGTGGTCAGCGTGGCATATGAAAGGTCACCGGAGCGTTGGCTGAAGACGGCTCAGACCGCTAGGCAGGTGGCCGGGGCAGACTGGTTTTTTTTCTGTACTCGAATCCACCCATCCTCGTGTCCAGTGTGCGCACAGCAACGCCAGTCCATCACGTCGTCATAATCTTTACGGATTTCTGTTATTACCAGGTTGATAAGCTATTAATACCAACGCACCACCTCGGTAAAAACGTACGATACATTGTCAAGGCCTTCCTCTGGCACTGTGGTCATGGCCTTCCCGCCATCTGAAGCCGGTGACGCTGAGCTACCGGCGATGACGTCAGCCGACCAGGACACTGACCTTGAGCAGCGGGTCCGCATGCTCGAGGAACCAGCCGGCCACGGCGTGCCCGGCCTCGTGGTACGCCACCGTGCGCTTCTCGTCCGGCCTGCAGCACCTGGCGGCGGCCGAGCGAAACACGTCACGCGGCCGGGAGCGGCGCTGGTGACGACAGGCTGGGCCAGAGCAGCCGCCACCGCCCGATCACACGGCCGCCTTCGACACGTCAGCCACTGGCGCACATGTGCTTTTCGTATCAGAATGTAAAGGACATTTTACCATGAGAAGTACGCGTCACAGCTTCAGTAAAAAAAATATAATAAAGTTCGCCGTGCTCTCAGGACGTAAACGCGTCCCCCCCCCCCCCCCCCCCCCCCCCCCCCCCCACGCGTCTGCGAGCGCTCGCCTGCGCCGTGGCCCGGCCGGGCAGGCGGCCGGCTCGTTCTCCCCCGCCACCTGCGTCTTCTTCTCCATGCCGGCCACCACGCGCTCGATGGCTTGCTCGAAGTGCTTGAGCACGATGCTGTCGTTGAGGTCGCGAGCGGCGATCAGCGCCGCCTCGTTGCACACGTTGGCGATGTCGGCACCTGGCAGACGCGGTGGGGGACGCGTCAGGTGCTCGGACGGCCGACGCCGGCGTCCATCGTCCCCCAGGTCCCACCCCGGCGCGGCACATACCGATCACGCACAGGGCACACAGAAAGGCCGGGGTTCGAGGACGCTCCGTGATCCGAAACTCGCTCCGTGACGTGTCCAGCGGCCCTGATCTCACAAAGACTGGCACCAGATCAGTCAGAAGCATGAATCAGCGTAGACTGCATTCATTAGCAGCCTCGGGCTAGTGCAGCGGCCCGGCACGTGCCGCCTGTGCTGACGAACCGCCTCCGGACATATCCCGACTACCACCGCTGGCGATCGCCAGCCGCGCGTCACACCCACGGTCGCCGGCGGCCCACCGCGCGCGTCAGGCCCAAACGCCGACCGGTGCTCGGCGGCGGCTGCCTACCGGTGAAGCCGGGCGTCAGCGCGGCCATCTTGCGGGCCAGCTCCTGCTTGTCCAGCTCCGTCTTCAGCTCCTTCAGGTGCACCTGCGGCGGCGCGGGGCGGCCGGTGAAACGGAGCGCCGCCCCACTGCCCAGGGTCAATGTTTCCTGTGCACGGGCGGCTGTTTCCGGACCGGCGGGGCATGCCGACGCCGGGTCCGCACCGGGGCAATGTCGTGGATGTTTGGCAACACAGAGCTGTCCTTGCCCTGAGACTGTTTTCAATGAACCCTGAACTAGAGCACCGTTCGAACCGTCCGACTGTGGACGGAAGGGCGAACCATCCGGCAGCGAACGGAAACGCGAGCCGCCGGACAGTGGACGGGATGACCCAGGCATCACCCTGATCCAACCGAATCGTCATCTAATCCAACATTATTTAAGCCACCCGCAGTTAGCAAACACTACACCGAAATCCGCTCGGCTCACCCGAGGTTTCGCAGAGCAGCCAGCGGCAGGCTGTCGGCCGCCCGCCCCCCTAACCCACCTTGAAGATGGACGCCCTGCCCTTGATGTCGGGCGCCGGCACATATATCTGCCGGTCGAATCTGCCGGGCCTCATGAGCGCGCTGTCCAGGATGTCCACCCGGTTGTGGCCGCCAGCACCACCACGTTGGTGGTCGTGTTGAAACCTGCCGCGGGGCATGCGGAGTGAGACACGACCGCGTGCTTCTGGTCACCACACGGTAACTCGGCCTCGGCGCAAGCTTCAGCGGACGAGGCCATGTTTGTCTGACGCCGTGCTTTAAGCACTGCCTGCGCCATGCGATTGGGCGGGCAACTAAAAGTCGCAATGGCTTTCAAGGCCTTGACGCCCCCGACGTTCATTATTCACAGCGCCGTCGTGCTTCCCCCGGGACTTTCCGGTCCGAGCCGGCCACGTCACCACCGGAGACCAGCCTCCATCAAACAAGGCCGGCGGGGGAGCGCGCCCCGAGCCGAGCCCCGGGGAGCGGCGCGGCGACGCGCCACCCACCGTCCATCTCCACCAGCAGCTGGTTGAGCGTGTTCTCCTGCTCGGAGGCGCCGCCCAGGCTGCGGCCGCCTCGCTTCCGGCCCACCGCGTCAATCTCGTCGATGAAGAGGATGCACGGCGCGTGCTTGCGAGCTTGGGCGAACATGTCGCGCACCTGGAGACGGCAGCGAGCCGGGTAAAAGTGGCGGGACCGACAGACTGCGGCAAGCATCGGCAAGCTGTGTGTTTGGATAGCTGTAGGTGGAGCCTACACCCAGCCAAGTACCGGCCATAACACGTGAAGGTTGGGACAAAAACCCCACCCATATATGATACTAACAAGCCCGCAAAATACTCCTCCCGAATAAGCAAAACTCATAATTACCGACGCACTTTTCACACCAATATCCCCCCATCCCAATTCGCCTCCATCGCCCTGAAGCCCAAACTACGCCTATCATGAGCTTCATCCACGCTGCACCATGACCTGGCAGGCAGAGCGGCGCCCGCCACCGGCGCCGAGCAGAGTCGAGCCCGTACCCGGGAGGGGCCGACACCGACGAACATCTCGAGGAACTCGGAGCCTGAGACGCTGATGAAGGGCACAGCAGCCTCGCCAGCCGTCGCCTTGGCCAGCAGCGTCTTACCCGTACCAGGAGGGCCTGCAGACACGGACCAGAGGTCTCTCACAAAGAAAACATGCACACAAAAAACACGCACGGTGGCCTAACCACCCGGCTTCGATACTCCTCACCTCGGTTTCATCACAGTTCCACGTCCCATTGATGGCATAGCTTCATCGGACAAACTGGTTATGACGAGCACCTGAGGTCATTCATGTAGGGAAGTATAAAAGTTTGGTAGCAGAAGTCAGCCCTACCTGTGAGCATGGCTCCCTTGGGAATTTTGGCTCCCAGCTCCATATACTGCTGCGGGTGCTTCAGGAAGTTGACAAACTCCATTATCTCAACCTTGGCCTCTTCACATCCAGCGACATCCCTGACAAACAGCACAAAGCCAATATAACCGAACGCGCATGTCGGTGCAAAGATGCGCCACTCGCTGAAGGCGTTCGCTCGTAAAGATTCATGAAAAGTTTCAGAAGGCCAAACATGCCCTCAGGCTTCGGAACACAGAATGAACTTCGCTCATAGACTGAACGAGGTAAAGGCGAATGACGAGAATCGAAAGGCACCATGATTCAGTTTGACCCACGTACACTAATGTCACCACATCTCACTGCAGCCCAGGCACTGATCACCGATGCGATTGACGCATGTCGCCTCCCAGCTGCTGCTCGCCCCAGCACGGACCTGAACTGACGCCGATCTCTTCCGGGTTGATCAGCTTGGCCGTGGACTCCATGACGCCGCCAAACAGGCCGCCACCGCGCTTGCCGCCGGCGCCGCCGCCGCCGCCCATCATGGTCGCACCCCGTCGAAACATATAGACGGCGAAGCCTGGCGGGCGCGCCGGGACGGGAGGGCGTCAGAGGCCGCGCGGCGGCCGACGACCGCGCCGGACGAGCGCACACGCGGCGCGCGTGCCAGGGTGGGCGAGCGCGACTGGGATCGGCGCGACACAGCGTGCGGGTCCCCATGTGGCCTCACGGGCACTTCGCGCGCGCCGCGGCCACAAATCGGGCAGTCGCCGTAAGCGACAGCGGATCCAGCGAGGCGGTGCGGACTGGCCGGCGCAGCTCCCGAAACAGCGGGCGCGTCGAGCGCGAGCAGCGCGGCCGGGCAGCGCCCGCCGCAGTGACCTACCGAGTATGAGCAGCGTGGGTAGGAAGCTGAGTACGCTGCTGGCCTCCAGCTCCTGCTTGTAGACGACCGGCACGTAGTTGGGAGGCTCGATGCTCATCTCGGCTTGCACGTTCTCCAGATTGCGCTCGAACGCGTCCACCGAGCCGATGTTGAACCACAGCGTCGTCTGTTGGCGGACGCGTGACTTTGGTCGGTCTATCGAGGGGCAGAGCATCGGTGCTGCTCGCTGACGCAGCAGGGCAAGCTATGACAAGAGGTCCGCTGCTTCCGAAAAGTGCTTCGCAGTATTTCACGTGCAATCTATGTCTGGCTTGCATAAGCAACTCGCCACAAATTCGCACAAACTGTGAACATGATGGATAAAGAGCATAGCATAACTCACGGCTCCCTCGATGTTGCTGCCAGGCTGTAGCCGCACGCGCACCCACTTCTTGTTGACAACCTCCAGCTTGTCAACCATGCCGCGGCCCAAATAGCTGCACAGAGAGACTGTGGTCATATGCGCGTCCACAGCAAGCCAACTCAAACACTGGTGAAAAACAACATGCGCAGCAAACAGACGCAGCGCACAACGCGATGGCGGACGCTGTCAAACACACGCACGGAAGCGCCAGCGATACGTCTGCGTCCAGGCAAAAGTACATGATAATATGATGCACCTGTGTCATGGAGAATTTCCCACCGGCACACCCTAAATTCAGTACATTCACACCTCACGATTCAGACTCCTTGTACATGTCAAACAGAGGCACTACCCTGGAAGGGCAGTGCCATTACAGGACCAGGGCAGGAAGGATACTGCACTGCCCTTTTGGCTACCTGTCCCCGCATCAGCCCAAACTACGCCTAAGTATCCCGAATCGACACGTTGCATGCTGATCGTGACGGACCTGTTGGAGAACTCCTTCCACGTGATCTCCTTGTAGCCGACGTCGTACATGGCGGCGCCCAGCGCCACCACCGTGCAGCCGGCCACCACGTACAGCACCATGCGCGCCTGCTCGCTGCTGCCCTGGTCGCCGGGCTTGCCCCTGCCAAGGGGGCAAACGCCGCGTCACGGGCGATGGGCGCTGGCGCTATGGTGACGTAGTAACGGTACCCAGAGTCTCGTTCATGTTTATCAGTGAACTAAGCTGTATGCTAGCAGCCTTTAGCCACACATAGTCTGTATATCGTCGACCACACCACAATAACACACTGCAATCCAGCCAAAGTGTCCACCTATGCCCTTGGTAACGTGACGGCTGCCGAGTTTACCGTATAGCCCCACTCACTTCATTCCTGGCCCGCCAAAGTTTATCTTGAACGACCACATGGGGTCCTTGGCGGCGTCTTTGCGGCCAGCACCGCCCCCGCCGCCGCTGCTGCGGGATGGTGGCGGCGGCGGAGGTGGCGCCTTGCCTTCCTTTCCAGCAGCCTCCTTGCCGCCAGCCATTCTTGGGCTTGAAATATTCTCAAAGCCTTCAGGCGGCTTGCAGCGGCGCAGATGGCCACCCAGCAGTGCTTCGAACCGGGACGAGATGTGGGCAAGCGAGCGCCTGGATAGTGGCAGCTGAAGGGCCAGCACAATGTCAGTGGCATGCTGATGTAGTACACCATGGTGCCCCTTGCCTGAAGCCATAAAATGCATGTGGAAACAACAAACTGGAATGCTTAACAACAGCTGTTTGTTAGGTTTCTGCTAGGAATTGAACTAACATCACAGTGCAAGATATTTAACATCTCAGTATAAGATTTTCCCAAAGTACATATTATTCTGCATTGCAGCCCTAATCAGACAAGACAACAACAATGCAATTACTTTGGCATTATATGTAATAAGAGAACAGCTCAGGTATAAGTTTGAATCTGCAATGCCAGAATGAAATGCCCATCTTGATATGTTAATCTTTGGAGCACCTGTGTTTGAATTCACCCACTTATTGTGTGGTGGGTTTGAGTGGCTTCAGGAATTTACTGTTTGTCCATAGCCAGGATGGCCAATGGCTAGTGGCACTAAGCACCAGTAAATATCTGGTAATATCAGAAGGCATGATGGACCATCACAACCATTGTGGCACATTATGTTTTTGCCTCTAAATTCTGCAGTTGACCAAGAACTTGGATGGGGCAGTTTAGTTACAGTGCAGACCATGCATGCTGCTTCGCATAAGTGCTGATCCCAGCAATCCACCTAATCTTGACTGGAAAAATTATACTTTGCATGAATTTACATCTTGCACTGAATTAATTCACTTTCCATCTGATGCATGAATTAACATTTTAGATTTCCACCTAGCATACATTCAACACTTAACCTGAGCAATCAATCACACCAAGCATTCCTGGTGTACCAACAATATCCTTGCAAGAATATCAGTGTATGCACAGGATTAATCTCATAACCCCCCAGTTAAGTGCAACCAAATTCAGCACATACAGAGCCCATGTCTGCATGAATGATAGGGTTGCTAAGATACATTTTAAGCAAGAATATCACAAAGTTATTAAGCAAAAAAACTTTGATGATGAGGTTCAGGAATTTCTTAGCTATTCATTGCACATGGTCATGCAGTGTTCAAAATGATTGGAAAATTATGTATAATTTTGCCTGGCCTGACTTTGATGCATGCTGAACACTCAGCTCAATGTCAGCTAGCCTCAGTGCAGTGGATGGCTTTGCTGCAGACAGGCATTGAACCATGCTGTTAGGAATGTTTTAAAAGGAAATATTTAATATGTTTAATCCTTTCAATCAACCCATACATTCTTTATCAATTCAATCAGAACCATATCATTGTACAGCCTATCACATTGCAAACTGATTAGGCATTTATTACAACATTTAGAGTCCTGTGTCCTGGCAAAGTCACACAACAATGGTTATTACCAGCCATTAGTTCCTAGTTATCAGTCACTAAGCAAGTGTCATAAAAATGGAAGATGTCTTTTACAAAAGCATATGGGTGGCAAGTAATTCTTAACTACCCTTACCCATCATGATGGATTGTATGCCACAATAAGGACACCTCCCGGTACCACTCCAGAGACCAAAACTGCATCAAATCACAAAAAGTATGAAAGCCGCCTCCAAAAGGCTTATCACAACACTGGCTATGTAAACCAAAATTAAACCAAAATAAAGGTATCAGCTGTTAAACCACATTTATGATCCGCATCAATCAAACACATTAGGAGTGGTACTTACCATGTGCATCCCATCGCAAGGACTACGGGTAAACCCGCTCGTCCTGCATAACACGCGGCAAGTCCCCAGTATTCTGTAAGCCATCGCGCAGGGCCCCGTTGACAGGTTGAAAGCTACCGAGGCGATACTGTCTGTCTTTGGATTGGTTGCACACACTTCCTTTACATGGCACGAGACTAAAGAGCAGAAGCGATTGGGTTTTCTCTGCAAGCGCCCCACGCGTTACTCCCGTCCACTTCCCAACAACAGCACGCGACCCACCCGCTGTTGTATAATGCAATGGTGTAATGGTAGGACCGACCAATCCTGACGAAATTTCGGCTCGCCCAAAGAACTGTCCTTCGTTCAGAACAAGATGTTTTTATGCTGATATTCATTAAACAACAAATCATGATACACATTGTCCACAAATGGCAAATCAAAACTAGGATATACATTTGCAGAAACTCTTCAACCTTTAATCGAACACCTTTTGCTTTCATATGGTAGCTTACACCTGCGGCTTCTTTTAAAAAAGCATGTGTTTAAGGAATATGAAGGGAAAAGCCATTTTGACTCGCGTTAAGTGCCTCGCTTAATCACTTCATTACCCCGCGTTATAGGGGGTCCGAACCATATTTTTCGCGTTTGGCAATATAAACAGTTCCCAATATCCACAATCAAGTTTTCATCTGTGTCTGCCAGGGTACGGTGACTCGTCCTTATACCATTACATCATTCCGTCAATTTAGTTCCCGTAGTTTCGATGTTATATAAAACCATGATGTAGCTCTACAGTGCATACGCTTCTAGTCAGACACAGGTGAATTGGTACGACCATGTGGCACACTCACGAAACTAGCAACCCTCTTTGGAAATAAAGTTAATACTACGATTAGCGCAAGCTTGGGTGGTGGGCCAATTTGACCCCCTCCCCGAATGTTTTCCAGAATGATTTCCGAACAGCGTAGCGTTGCAACGCCAAACTTCCCCTAGCTGTATGCAATGGAATAGCATATCTTTTAGCATACAAATTTTATGTCCTTTGTAAGTTTGCTGCCCCATGATAGCCCAACGTCAGATCGTGACTGTCAGAGAAGGCCGTTTCTAGAGAATCGTTCAATCTGATGCGACAACGGGTGTTAGACGAAGCCATACATTTTTGGAATGGTTTCTTCGGTAATGCACAAATTGAATTCAAAATTACACAGACATACGTTGACTCCCTATTCCGCATAGAGGTCAGACAAATGTCAAAACTAACCTGCTTTTTACTCGAGGGCTTGCTTCATGGAAACGTTTCTGGTCGTCATCTCGAAGTTATCGATAACAGGGACCGACACATACATTTTGCATGGACTTAAAAGCTTAGATAAGTTCACTGACCTAAAAGGGCCGGGGCCAAAGCTTCGTTTTTAGGAGCATACCACCTAAAGTAATCCTGACCCTTCTTGAAATGACAGAATAGCAGCAATTTCGCAGTTTTTGGTCACATTAACCTTGTAAAGATTAAACAAGGTTACTGACCTTAAATTAACACCACTGACCTTTTGCTCAGGACAGGTAATGAGGTCTCCGGTGGGTGCATGAGAAAGTTCGTTGACAATTTGGACACCAATCTAGAGTTTGACTTTGTCTGACTTTATTTGACCTTAAGATCATGGCTAAGGAAGCTAAAAAAATTATTTAAGTAAGCTCACATACAGGTGAATCTACCCTGTTAATTTAGGATTACTAGCTACCTCACTTTCTCAGGGTCTCGAGATCTCAGGGGGTTTATTGACCCCCCCCCCCCCCCCCCCCTCGAACGAAGGGCATACAACCGGCCACCCGGGCACTTGTTCAGAGCGACAATGCATAACGCCGAGTATGTATGTATAAATATATGTATATATATATATATATTTATTTATTTACATACATAAAATCTACAAATCTGACTGCGTAGATAGGAATGAAGACACAGCACATCAGCACAGCACTCACTCTTGAACGCACCCGTGCTCCCTCGAGTCATGCGTACTTTGTTTCCACGATTGGCGACATTGGCCGATCAGCTGGTCGTTCGCGTCGCCAAAATTCGCGTTGAACTGTTTGTCGCCCTGCGCGTGGAATATATTTTTGCGCTGGTACGAAAATGCACTTATTGGTTGGTACGGGGGAGGGTTCGCAAGCGTCGGAGTCCTTCGGTAGCGGACCGAAGACAGGTCGCGATGGTGATGGAATGTATGCCGGAGTTTGCGGATTGTCCGCAAACCTTGTGCGGAGTTTTTTTTTGCGCGGAGCGGAACGAGTGAGTGTTAAGTCAAGCAGAGAGCGTGAAGGAAGCATACATTAATACTCGCTAAGACTTGAGTTATCCTTATCCCCAGACCTCTTCTTTGGCATTGCATTTGGTGCATAACACGATGGTATATCCATGTGGGCACAGCATTCCAATTATACATTCTATAAAGCATTTTACGGCGCGCTCCAGCTATTGAGGCTGGCTTGATAAGCGCCTGGCTGCCTACCACCTTTTCTCAATTCCGTTTCACCCCTTCAGTAAAACGTTTGAGGTGCACCAGCGAGGAGTGTCCACTCTCAGTCACCAACGATGACCTGATGATGACATGATGACATAATGAAGACATGATGACCTGATGATGATATAACTCCCTTCGGGTAAGGGATACAACGTCGTAGGTCTGCAGCATTGAAAGTAGGTGTGGAAAATGCAAAACGTGAAAAAGATTTGCCCGAATTTTCCTGGACTTTGCCCAACATGCCCGGAATTCCCTTTTCGGGAGAAGTGCGCTGTAGCAGCAGATGATAACGAGAGGAATTTTGTGTATGTTGTTTATAACGTTTAATGTTTAAACGATGTTAAATACTTGCAATGACTCCAACGCTCATAATGATGAACATTGTCCCTGTCTCGGTATTCATATCATATATTTTATGTTATATATATATATATATATATATATATATATATATATATATATATATATATATGCATTACAAGCATGCTAATCACTTGTTGAGTGGGCCGGCGGCAGTTGGAGGGGATTTAGGGGGTCAAGAGGCGATTTAAACAAAAGAGGTCATGAGAGATGACGTATGTCGGCTGATGAGGAACTTACCTGCATGATCCCACAATGACATCGTGCGCGCATGGTTGCAGCCCTCGGCACGAGTAAAATTATTTTGAATTCAACAGCGTACCATCACAAATTGCCACGCTGGCCGGCCCGCCAGGATTGGATAACATGTTGTCGAGGGGGGGGGGGGGGTGACCAAATAAGCTGGAAGCCAGAACTTGAAAGTTTTTTTCTAATTGGCAACCCATTACCAGGACTATCGAATGCACACAGTTCCGCCCTGCGCGCGCCATTGTAAGTATTTGTCCTCTGCCGCTTATTTGGTCATCGCTCCACCGGCGGGTCAGTGGCAATACGGAATGCACCGTCGAGGGATGATTTGAATAAATGAAAAGGTCATGTCTCTCGATGAGCAATTGACATGCTGGCCTAACGTGCTTCACAATTTTGTTGTGTGCTCATGGTCATGGCCATGGCTCTCTGTGCGAGTAAACTTTTTCAAGTTGGACATTGTATCTTTGCAAAGTGTCGCTGCGGTCGACCCGCCGGCATTAAGGGACATGCTGTCGGGGGGGGGGGGGGGGGTCGACCGAACATGATGGAAAATAAAATCCATAGGTGTGTCGTTCTGCCAACTGCTAACATTATACACTCGTGACTTAAGTATAAAACTGAATGAAATCCAATAAAAAAGCTGCAAAATTCACTATGCTTTGGCAGATATGTACTCTTGTTCCGGGGACATGACCTTCGACCCGGGGCCAAAACAAAAGTTATGGCCGGGGTGCGATTTCTGCGGGACCGAACTGCGTTGGGCACAGTAGATAACTGCGTACGCGCGAAAAACGACCGCAGTGGAATAGTGCTTGCAAAAGACTTTCAAGATTAGTTTGTACCGCTCAAAGATATTACCTAGGATATATCTTACCTTAGTAACCTTGAGGATGTCCTCTGAACAGATTATGAGCTGATGTAAGCCAAACAAATGAGCTTTTTGTCCTATTCCAGTTTCACCACCAGATCCCAGTGCCAGTTAGCAGTGCTGTAAAGGGTAATCCGTTCCTATCATCATTCTAAGAGAAATTGCACAGATCAAACATACGCCAGGACTGCTTGTTAATGCTCGAATTGACCTTTAAGAGGCACTTGCTGCAGATGCGTCATCATTTACTTTTCCCGTCGGTCACCGCGTAGTGTAATGTACAGAGCCGGCAACGCGCGGCCTACGGAGACTGTAACGCAGGGCGTCGGGGCTTTGATCCTACGATTTGTTAGCGCGCCTGTTCAAAAATTGTGCTGCACATTTTTCTCAGTAATCGATTCTGGCTGTGATCTGGACATTCTCAGACGAACATAGGCTGGTCATATTAATAAATATTTGTGATCTCGTTTCGATTGCCAATCTACGATCCCGGGTCCCCAATATCTCGGGAGAACCAAGGCAAAATTCTGGCAGAGCCTCTATGTTCTTTAGGTTAAGAAACAGTCCGCTGAACATTGCTAGATTAATTAACGCCGGCGAACTGTTTCATACAGACATTTCGCGTCCGTAACCTCCAGTTCATCGACTTGAAAATACGAACAGGATGGCATCTTTCGGTAACTTCTGGCTTCCGTTCCAGTTACAAAAGGCAAAAATAAAACTAAAATGAAGGAAATCATGCCCCATCGCAATTAAGTTTACCATATCCAGTGTAATTTTTTTTTTTGGGGGGGGGGGGCGGGGAGTAGGACTTTCACAGTCATGTGGTCTTTGTCAACGCCATCCCCCCCCCCCCCCTCACCAAGGCTATGACTGTGCCCGTCCTGCAGACTGCGCCGACTACATGGACTCAAAGTGGGCGTGATCGTAGATCGGATTAGCAGTTGCTTCGAGATATGGTAGGCACTACAAGAATGCTTAAACCTTGTCAGAATGAGCCCAGCAGTATCTACACAGACCGGTGAGCACTCACGAGTCTGCCCAGATATCATTGTGTATCGGAGACCCTCCCAAGTGGCGAGGACCCCACTTCATGGCCAAGGCTATACGGGACTGCATGGGCCATCATAGGATTCCACACAGGCTGACAGTAGCAGCCCTCTCATATGTAAGCTGTAGGGCAGAGGTGGCTGTCAAATCAACGAAGCGGTTTGTCGCGGACACCGTCTCTATTGACGGCCAGTTTAACAACTTCAGACCCAGCTGATCCCTGTTCCATTATCGGCATGCTCTGAACAGGGCCACTGGTATGTCGCCAGTCGAGCTTCTGGGAAGAAAGCCACCGGACTTCCTTCCCAGCTCCGCTCTCTCATTTCCCATGACGACGCTCGCTCATAGTGAGCAATACCTGGCAGGACCTGGCTGACTGGCGGAAGAACGCACTGTGAAAACGTACCTCCAAAGGTTAGGAGCGTTTAGGCGTCCACTCCAAAGACTTACCTGCCTTTAACAATTAGAAGGCCTGTCCTCGAACAGAGCCAGTCTCACACCCTCAAGCGGGACCGGAAGGGGCTGTAGTGGTGTTGCCTCACAATCAGTACCAAACCACGATGGACAGATCCAAGAAGATCACGGTACCGTACCGAAAATTTCTGCTGGTCTTCACTCCAGTCACATCCCGGAAGATCCAGCTCATGACCAGGGGCTCGAGGCAGCGCATAACCTGCAGCGACGCCGGGAGGTTAACCCAGCCTCCTCACGCTCAACGAGCTGAGGAACGGAAATACGGGGCATGGGAATCCTCCCAGGCCGGTGCAGGTAGTCCTCCCCCCCCCCCATGACGCCCTGACCTGTTTGTGGTCGTACCCTAGTTAACCCCCACCTGTGACGTCTCCCCTGGTACAGCGGCTAGCAGTGGACCCTGGGCCTGCTTACGCCCCTGCCGTGGTGCCGGCGTCACCTCAGTCGTCCGACCAGCAGGGATAGATGTCTCAGCGGCCCGGCAGCCGCAGCTGGGTCATCTTCGCCCCGGCTGCTCCAGCACATACCCCCGAAATGTGCAAGGCCGCCTACGGCTACCGCGACGGTGCCTCACCGAGGTCAACCAGACCTGGCAGGAGCCAGACACCCCTTTACAGGTGCTCCTACGGCTACCGCGACGACTGCCTCACCGAGGTCAGACAGAGCTGGCAGGAGCCAGACACCCCCTGTACAGGTGCTCCTACGGCTACCGCGACGACTGCTTCACCGAGGTCAACCAGAGCTGGCGGGAGCCAGACACCCCTGTACAGGTGCTCCTACGGCTACCGCGACGACTGCTTCACCGAGGTCAACCAGACCTGGCAGGAGCCAGACACCCCTGTACAGGTGCTCCTACGGCTACTGCGACGACTGCTTCACCGAGGTCAACCAGAGCTGGCAGGAGCGAGACACCCCTGTACAGGTGCTCCTACGGCTACCGCGACGACTGCCTCACCGAGGTCAACCAGAGCTGGCGGGAGCCAGACACCCCTGTACTTGTACCTGTACCGTAGTTGACGTCGCTTTGTGCGCGACGTCAACTACGACTCACCGACGAATTTACGCTGCTGTTCATTGTCTGTAAAGCAGGTTCCAAAACCGTGAATCGGATCCAGATCCTTCCAATCCGTTGGGCATAGCTGACCATTCACCATATGTGTGCCTCCTAACACTGCATTCTTATTTCGAGAGTTCCCTATACTTGTAGTAGATGCTACTCTTTTACGGGCTGTGCGTTTAGAAAATATTACCCGGCTAAGAACCAGTGCCATTGGTGAAATATAATAAATAAATACACCCAAGTCGCTGAATCGAGCAGAAAGCCAACGGATTTATTATCAAGTACATTTCGTGGACTGGATTCTCTAGACGCCTTGCATGAAAATTGTTGAGATTCGTTGAGAACAGAACTTCTAGTGACGCGCTATATTTCGCAACAACACTCACGATATTAGACTGAACGGAGACATAACTAACAAGATGGAGCCGTCACCTGGGCGATAATATAACAATATACCATGAGGAAGCACGGCTTCGTCTATGACCAAACATTTGGTTGAGCAATAACGGTATACATCGGGGATCATGCACCAACCCAAAGCGGTATATATTTAAGGCACATCGGGATGTGTGGTGCAGGCTCTCATGCCAACGGCGGGAAAACACCATTATGCTATGATGTCCGAATGGATATATGCACATTGAGCGCTCTTGACACCGCATCCCAAACTCCCAGATAAACAGCACATCCAAAAACGGCATGGCGATTGGCTATCGCACTCCGCAGCAATGTATCCTGAAGCCCAGGGAGTCACTGCTCCCCTCCGTATCCAGTTCGTGTCGATCCTTCCGAGGACTGGACGGCTGCCGCCTCTGCGTGGCAGTGCACGGACAGGAGAGGGCAGGTCAGGTCGGGGTCTGCGGCCGGCGAGACGTGCATGTGACGGTCGCCGAGGTCACGCGCCTGACAGATCATTGGTCAGCTGTCACTGTCATCGCGGTTCACCAGGTCCACCAGGTTTCGCTCAGCCTGGACCCTCTCCAACACCTGGAACGGTGCGCAGCGCTCAGCAAGCGCTGCATGTCCCCACGACTGGAGAATCGTTTCCCACACGTTCACCTTGACAAGCTTGACATGTTTTTCAGCATGTCCTTTGACAAACCTCGTAACGACAAAAGCGGTTCCTGTTAGAGGGAGGATGGGGTCATATATGCGAACATCTGTATGTAATATCAACCAACCCATAGCCCCAGGAGCCTATTCGAAACCCAAGTAGCCTCATTACAAACGTGCCCCTTCTACCAGCCGCACTTCACGCACAGACAGCACGTTGGCTCTGTGGTGCTTCACGACACCGAGCAAAGCCTGCGCCGACCTGGGGCGTGGCGATGCAGATCCTGTTCTCCCACCGCAGGAGCCAGCCGCGCCGCCCGGCTCTCCAACTCCTCCACGTCGTGCTCCAGGCGGCGAGCCTTCAGCGAGCCCGCCACAGCCGGCTGGCTGAGCACGCCGAGCCCCCGCTGGAGCGCAGTCTGCCGACAGGCCACCAGCTGGCGCAGTGAGCTAATTGCCGAAGCCGGTTACACCTGCTGGGTGATGACGGTACAACTCTGTTCGACTAAAAGGATTCAAAGAGCGCAGCATTATCTTGATCGTTACACCTGCTGCTTGATTCCAAGCCTGTCCGTGCACGCCGTCGATGCAAACATGCAGCAAGACAGGTGGGAAGCTGAGACAATGGCCAAGCTAAAGAAATGACCAATGGCCAAGCAAAACGGACGCCCAGTTCCCCTCATACTGATGTATATCTCCCTAAACTACGCTCATCTACCTCAGACTGATGTGCATCTCCCTCAGAGTGACGCTTATCTCCCCCAGACCGACACCGCATCTCCCTCAGACTGACGTCCCATCCGCTCCCCGCATGCCACCATGTCCCGGCTGACCGGCGCCTCCGCGTCGTCCGCGATGTTGTACAGCGCGTCCATGATGGTGTGCGGGGTGAGCGCGGTGGCCGCCTGCACCGAATTCCTCCTCCGCACCGAAGACTCTGCCGGCGGCCAGTTTAGCACACAGCGGACGGCGCAAGTCGTGCACGAATCAACCGTGACAATCGGACATCGCCAGTGCATGGCATGCACGTACAGATGTAGCCACGTGGCGGCACAATGCTGCAGGCACTCCGCATATCAGGGATGTGCTGTAGTGGAGCCCTGAGGTGAGGGGCGAACTCCACCATCGCCGGTGTAATGAAGCGAACATCGAGTTCTTCTCGGTGTCTGTTCATTCCCTGCCGAGCAAACGAGCAAGGACGACGGAAAGGGCGGGGCCACCCCGCGGGGCTGCAGTCAGCTGCGCCCCAGCGACGCGAGGCCGCGCATGGCGCTGGGCTGGTGGTCCCGGACGCTGACCTGGCGGCAGGTTGATGACGCTGGTGCTGCTTCGCCTGAGGAGGGTGGACTCTGGCCTCTTGAAGCCACTGAGCTCCATGGTACTCTTCAGTCGGCTGTTTCTAAAAGGACCGGTACATGGTTTCGCCTCAGACACAGTGTAACACACAGAATATACGCAACAATTCCCAGGGGCTGACATAAGTTTGCGATCGAAAACTTGAAAAAGGATGAATCGTCTCAGACACGGTCGGCACGTCTCCTGGAACAGCAAGGCACGGTTATTGAGTATACTAGGCCAGCACAGACGCGGTTGAGAAGATCCACCAATAGGGGTGTAAACTGTTCTGCTTAGAAGCAAGGGGCAGCTGAGAAGACTTTCTTCATGATGTTAAGCCAGCCAGTGCACTGGTTCCGTTGCCAATACTTCATGTTGTGATTAATATTATGCATTACCCTGTGTCTTTAAGCCGCATCTTTCCGTGCCCGCCAAAGAGCATCACATTATATTCTAGAAACTGCGAGCCTCCCGACCCCTCACCACCCATGTTTTGAACAGCCAGGCACAACTAGTCAACGGCCATCCAAAGACCACCTAGTGTACCCCACCTCCCAGTGAGCAGGAGGGTTCCCCGGGGCCAGCCGCGGCCGAACGTCGGTCGGCTTACCTGCGAGACGTGGGCACAATGGACTGCCGGTGGGCGCTGAAGGCGGCCTGCGCGCCGCAGTAGCCACGCAGCCGGTTGATGGCGTCGAAGTGATTCAAGATGGCCGTTCTCAGAACAGGGCTGTTCTCAGCGTCTTGCTGCGGTGGCCACAGGCTGAGCGTCAGAACGTTGCGATTTGGAATGGTTCCAGAAGGTTGAAATAAGCTATATGTAGCATTCTGCAGCGGGATTAAATCAAATTGGCGTCGGGCCTTCAGTTGCAAATTACTGATTACACACCGATGGAAATGAAACAGTTTTATCCACGCGTCAAATCGTTGAAAACCTCACCAACACCACGGCCTCGGCCAGACAGGTGAATCCATCCTTGCCGTGGTGCATGTATTCCTTTGTGGCCAATTTGTACAGGTGGCCGGGCTGGACGAACACGTCCCCGACCTTGACGTACCTGGAAAAGGTCTGATGTCAAGAGCTATGCCACCAACGCAGACTGCGGGTGTCTGCTTATATTATTTTGTGAGAGCCCTGCCCCCCTCCCTCAATGTTGAGTTGGGGGGGCCCCCTATGTTGCCCTATGCCCTGTGTTGGCTTGTTTCCTAATATTTTTGACTGGCATATTTAAAAAGCGTAGGAAAAAAGTTGGCCATCACTCAAAGACTATTTTCTTTGCTCATTCCTTGTACTGGCGTCGACAGGGTGGGTGCACCAAACATGCAACATAAACCTGGCCCCGAAACCTCAAAATTATTCTCTCAAATGAACAGTAACGTAGCCGTTGCATGACAAATCATTTTGCCTTTGGAGTTACTTTTTCTGTTTTTTTTTCATCAAACGTAACACCAGACGCTTAACTCCCCTGCCCCCCAACCATGATATTAACGCCACTATTCACCGATCTCGTACCAGTGATATTAACGTCACTTTTCACCGGTCAACATTTTGCCGGGCCCGATTTTAACTTGATTCTGTGCTGACCAGAATTTATTGCCAGGACTCCGAACCTCCTTCTGGAACGCAAATCTACCACTCTACGGTTAGTCGCATCACGTATGCGGTCAGTATAATTTCAGCGCTCTAACGAAGTTGGGATTCTGCCACGGTGATTGGTGTCCCTGCGTGGAATTATGCTTTCTTTTTGCGAACATTTTAGGCACTGAAGTCAACAGGTTTGAAGAAATGCGATGCCTGTGAGCTACCCTTTCACGAACTATGTTTGTCAAGAGCTTTCAATCGCCTGTGACCTAGAAAGGGTCACACGCAGTAACCCTCGTCCTGACTCGCCGTTTTTCATAACGCCGACCGATAGGGGGGGGGGGGGGGGGTCGATGCAACCGACTGGCGTTTCCACACTGAGAAATATGGAGCTTAGTGGAAAAGTATCCGTGAGTGGGTCTCAACACTATCCTGCAATTGATGGTGCTTATTACTGCTTTTAGGTCAATAACTGACCGTATTATGATAGGATAAACGTCAAATTTTCCTGAAAATCGCACTTTTCAGCTTTGCAATTGTTATACATACGAGACAATGACTCGTGGCGACACAAAATCTTAAGAAGCGTGTTTTTTGTTGGATTTCGAAGACATTGGTTGTATCCCTATGTCTTCGGAGCATACTTTTATGATATATGGCTCTGTTAATGTAAAGATATCGGGCTCGCCGCACGCGTCCCGCGGCGCCGTCGGCTGCCGCCCGCCGCCCACCCCGGCCGTGGATCGCCGGAGAGCGTTCCTTAAAGACGCCACTGCTCCGGATCTAGAAAAGCGACGAAAACATTTGTGGTGTCAAAACACTTGCAATGAAAGCCCCATACTGGCAATGTGGGCGCAATTGCACAACATGACGGAAAGGTATCCTCAAAAACCTTGGGGGGGGGGGGGGCTTGCATCAAGCTTCCCCTTTCAAAGCGAGCATGGATAAATGAATCGACGTCATTCATCGAAACGGCGGTAATGCTTTGAAATTCATTGCGCATTATGGGACGATGCAAGGGTAGTAACTGAGTTTCATCTGGAATCATGTGGTCGGATATTTTTTAGCCGTGTTCTTTTACCATGTTAAAGAATTCGACAATTTGTGAATGAATTAAACTTGTAGGCTTGAAAAGAGAAGTGCTTCTCCTTGTGCAGCTGATATTGATACCATTCAATCTTATGAAATACAACGCATTTCAAAGTTGTTATGCATCAAGTCAATGCTATTTTAAGACCGGTCATTTATCACTTTGTTATGTAGAACTAACCCACATGAAATTACAATAGCTTACATAATACAGCATACATAAATTCTATGAACGCTTCCGCGACCCTCAGGGGCGCAACAACGATTTACGACCACGAATGCCTGTGGCGGTCCGATTAATAGCACATGCACCTTTATACCACTTGTACAACAAGCGCACCGCCACCGTTATCTACACCGCATTGTTGCGTAACTTATTGAAACAGTTTGCTTTTAGTCTCAATTTCATACAACTCTTGGTCAACGTAAATTGTTCACTCCGAGTTGTTAGATATAATTGATTATGAATATGTTGTCGATCCCAACTGTTGATGCCATTACACAGTCGAAATGAAAAAGGGGGTACGACACTAAGCTCTGACCGAACTTTTGCACGCCGCTGGAGTGTCGTGCAAAGGCTATAACATCAATAAAGCAGCGCTGTTTTACACGGGGTTATTGTGACCTATATTTAAGAAAATAAAATAAAATTGGAGTAGGTTGTGCACTTGGGCCTAATGGCTTGGCCTCCAAACATCGTAACTGGATCCGTTAATATAACCGTATATTTACCCCCTAGACACAAAACAAATATGCCTGTTGTATACATCACAGCTCTAACCCACACCAGAACATCCCTACCCTCGTAATTAGTAGTGGTGTTTGCTCCCCCCCCCCCCCCCCCCCGATAAAAATCGTAGCTGCTGAGCGAATAAGCGCTGCGAAAACTTTAGACACTGAGGGCAATAAGAAGCGCAAAGAACGCAAAGCACTTGGGCAAGACTGTCCCGCAAGGGTGCCGAAAACATGAAAGCTCTGTTGTGCATAGCATGTGTATTCATGCCATTACCAAAAATGTCGCGGGATTAGCCATGAAAAAATGTAAAAGCAGACCACCGCTAGCTGCCCTGTATCGCTACAAACGCCCAGTCATATATTCTATTTCAAGGTGGACAAAAATAACGACTTGCTGTTTCTCGTTTTGGACAACATTTTGGCAGATATTTATTTGACCAGTCCGCCCTCTTAACTCCTGACGTAGTTCAAAATGTTAAGAACACGAAGAAGCCAGTCCACAGCATCACCTACACATAAGTAATATTACTCAAACATTTCGAGCTTTAGAAAGGCGCGCTCGAATAAATCCGCCGGATTACTCGAGCGGCGGCATCAAGCCGAGTGGTGAGCTGTCGCCACCGGTCAGACATCTCACCTGGCGTCGACCCTCTGACCGGGCTCCTTGTCCGGGCCGAAGCCGAACGGTAAGCCGTCGGTACTGGTCACACATCTCACCTGGCGTCGACCCTCTGGCCGGGCTCCTTGTCCGGGTCGCAGCCGAACGGCAAGCTGTCGGCACTGGTCAGACATCTCACCTGGCGTCGACCCTCTGACCGGGCTCCTTGTCCGGGTCAAAGACGAACGACAGGCCGGCCACCTGCGGGAACCGGCCGACCAGGCGCGGGTACATCGAGACGGCGTTCTCCAGCGCCTGATGCAGAGTGGCGCCTGCCGGTACCCGCCGCCCGGGTCAGTGTCTGCGCTCGCGAGCGGACCCGGACGCCACATGGTGAGGCTGCGTGTGGCCTTGTGTGACGTTTGAGCGAAACAAACTCACGACAGAAAGACAGCGCAAGACAGACGTTCACACGAGCCGAGTTCACCACTATCACAGTCACTGCATCAACAAAAGCCAAGATTATGCAAGCGTTGTGGGAGAGCCTGCTGAGGAGCTCCCATGGGTGTCTTGGACTGCCATGCATGGGCGCCGACATCCCCAGCCAGATCGTAGATGCCGTCGGGTACGGACACAGGCTCCGACTGGGGCCCGCCTGCACGCGTCGCGGCGGCCGCAGTACTGCGTGGATCGACTTACGCGGGCACGTGCTGCCGAGGAATCAGCCAGGTTTGGACGCAGCCGTGCTTGAGCAGCGTGGGAAACGAGGAGTCTTACGGCGGTGTCAGCGCGTTACATGTTCGGCTCATAGAAAATCCCTCAAGCGCCACACGGCGACAAAAAGATAAGCATATTGACAAAACAAGTAGGCGCAGCCCAAAAAGCAGTTTTACCGGGATCACCCAACAGCTAGATGCTACTTAGAGGATTGGACTATTCTTACAGGCAACATTACCCTCAAACTAGTAGTTAAGACGTTTGTGTGAATTATTTCGTCTTGGTATACGCCAAAAATACTTTACAAAACGGCCACCGCAATATTTTTACACAACGAAACCGGTAAGGAGCGTGTTAGACTCCTGCATGCGTGGTGTGAATGTAGCGCCAAAAAGCAGACGTCAGAGTGACGTCACGGGCAGTGGCGTGGCCAGTTTTTCCAAGACGTGGGCAAAGGGGTCACAGGAGGCCTTTCAGTGAAGGGTGGCTCTTTGCCGCTATCGGGGCCGTGCTGCTTTGGATCCAAAGACCTTGTTAGGTTCAGGATTCTATTTTGCTGTCTTGGGGCCTTTTTGTATGCTTTCGAAGCGTCACAGGTGTCTAAAACTGTCAAGAAGTACCGCGGTTTGGGGCCATCGGGCCGATCCTCGACACCTGCAGAGCGGAGGCAAGGCTCCACAAACCCCCACTCCTCGAATACGCCACTGATTTTGAATAGCATCAGTCTACAGATTCAGCTCACGATTACAGCCAGAGCACGCAATCAGGAGCAACTGCAACATAAAAATGGGTACCTTAATCTGATATCTATCAACTGCGAGCCTTACGAGGTCACCAACGCATCGACGTACAGCTGGTATGGGTGCAAGCAGCTTCCTGCTAAACTACAGATGTTTGAACGACTGCACCGGATGCCGAGGACTCGCTAGAATCCGCCACGGACAAACATTGAACAAAAGAGAAGCTAATTTTTGCCAGTTCTATGAAAACGTCACGCCAAACACCTTGTTGGTGTAATTTTGCAGAGTTCTGTAGCTTCCACAGTACATTTAAGGGAACAAACAACAAATCTTGTAAAATCATTTTCCTCCCGGCTTGTGGCATAACTTATCCGGGCTACAGAGTCTGGCAGCACCAATTCGCGATGCAAACGGGTCCCACGGCGCCCCGACCTCCGCAGGAACGTGCGCAGGATTTTGAAATGTGGCTTGAGTGGGAGTTTCTCTCAGATTTTCAGATTTTCTCAGATTTTCCACATACACAAAATATGTCTGCCTTGATTTTTTAGCATCAACATTTACTCACATCGATAGCACTGCATGTACAAATTTGATGAGGGAGGGGTGCCGCCCGTACCCCTTTTACAAGCCGGCGGCTGCCCATCCCATCTGACTGTCCTGCTCAGCGCAAGTCGCCCGGCCGGCGCGTCGTCAGTCGATCGACTCACCATTGACCTGAAGCAGCACCAGCCCGTCCATGAAGGGCGCGATGGTCACCAGGTCACGCATGGTGAAGTCGCCGGCCGGATGGACGCGGTCACTGCGCAGGGTGCCCGAGTTGAGGATCACGCAGTCGGCGTTCATGGCGGCTGCAGCACAGAGGAGAGATTCTGGAGGCGGGGCGGCCACGCGGAGCGAACGGAGGCGGCCCCATCGGCCGATGCGCCGTACCACCGCAGGTCAAATATCACGATGTTCCGGAGGGTATCTAGATGCTAACTCACAAATGTTGCTGAGTGTTACTCAGAAAAATGGAAATGAGATGAAAAAGTAGGAAACGTTTGAGTGATAATAATGCAGGCATGTGAGAAATCAAAACATTCATTTTTACGTAATCGTACATACAAAGCTAAGATAACTGCGTCGTATGTTCAGCAACGTGCGCTACTCGAAGGTCACGTCAATGTCAAAAATAAGTTATCGTTCACATGGTTCCGGGAGGACATTGCTCTAACGAAGGCATGCACCGTATGGTGATCCTTCAGAGCGCTTTACGTCATTCCGCTGCACGGCGCCATCACTAGGAAAGTTATTCATCGACACAGTACACATTCGTGCTTGCCCTTCTGTCCGAACAGGACAATAACGAATACCATTACATAACACGTTGACGCACACTGGAAAAAGAGCGCGAATGCTCTCAGCACCTTACCCAAAATTACATCGGAGCAGAAGTTGCCTAAGTTTGTTTCCTCCGTTCGTACTTTGCAGGAGCGCCCCTCCAGTGCCACCTCGAAGTGACCAATGACGTCATCCAGACGGGTTTCTGACATGTCTGTCAACAGTACCACCAATCTCGCCAAATCCCGATCGCACTGGTCGCTAGAAATCCTGTCACCGCATTTTGAATAAGACACTGCCAACAGCATTACGATATTCCTTTGATTGGGTGGTTGATTACACAAATCATGTTCATTGTTAACAGGAAAATTGCGGATTTTGAAATTGCAGTCTCTCACTTTTTCCTCTCTTTTCTCTGCTCCCCCTCCCTTTACCAATCCGCTCTCTCTCTCTCCTCTCTCTCTCTCTCGCTCTCCTCGCTCTCTCTCTCTCATCTCCTCTCTCTCTCTTCTCTCTCTCTATCTATTCTCTCTCTCTCTCTCTCTATCTTTCTCTCTCTCTCTCTCTCTCTCCTCTCTCTTCTCTCTCTCTCTCTCTCTCTCTCTCTTTCTCTCCTCTCCTCTCTCCTCTCTCTCTCTCTCTC